GCATAATTTCAAACCTTCTATCACAATGAAATAGTTAAATTAACAAAATATTAAACCAAAATCACGCGTAGACATGATTAGATAGTTGGTACTTACTATGATGCTGCTCTATACCATACATAACGTAATATGTGCATATAAACCTATTTGGAATATACTTCATTTATTTGTAAATAATAAATTTAAATGAATTAGAATCGTTGTCACTAAGAATTGGTAGTAAATAACGAAATGACATAAACAATTACAACCTGTAACCAAAAATTAAAAAAAAAATGATGAATATATCTAACAAAGAATGTTATATTAAAAAAGATAAAAAACTTTATCTTGTAAATAGTAAACACCTAATTAGGTTAGTATAATATACTCAGAATGCGGAATAAGATAGATAGATTATCATAGAAACCAAACCAAACAACAATGTTTTAAAATAGTATACAAATATGAAGTAACAAATATCTAAGTACCTAGTACTTTTTTGTCGTCTATGATACAGGCTCGACCTAGTACAGTCGGCAGTAACAAAGTGAAGTAAGCAGCTTTTAATGTTGTAATTAGTTTGTTCTGAGCTTATTGTAAAGGAATGTAATTTATGCTGATATTTTTTTATTTGTTCACATTTTAGTCTCAGAACTGTATATTAATTGAACTAATATATATCCAAAATATCCCTTATTTATTCTTTGAAGAAAATAATCTCTATGGCAAAATAGAGAATAGTAGCATAAACAATAAATCACGCTACTATTTTTGACTTTGACATTTATTTTGGCTGACTCCGTCTATATAATTATATATTTAGTCTCAGATAGTAGTTATCTATACATTTAATAAAATTGTAACTAAGTCGAATTGAAATAGACATTACTATCGATACAGAGTTCAAATCTATCGTTTTTAGAATTTTTGTCTGTCTGTCTGTTTGTCTGCTACCGCATCACGAGAAAACCACTGGACAGATTTTGATGAAATTTGATATGATTATAGCTGGTTATCCGGGTCAACATATAGGATACTTTTTACCGCGGGAAAATATCTCATTTCTGAGAAAAAATACAAAAACTGCATTGTAAAAGTATTATAAATGTAAAACCTAAGAATTTGGTTTTTGGTCATCTGAACGTGGGCGGAGCCGCGGGCAATCCTAGTTCTCTATAAGAAGTGTTATTAGGTAGATATATCTAGTTTAGTCTTGCATTCATGTCAAATGTATATTTTCAAGAAGTATTATCAGATCCTATTTCCTCTGATAAGTCAATGGTGTGCTATCAATGGAAGCTAAAAGCGTACTATTACTATAATAACGAGTTATTGTTACTTTATAATTAGTACTTGTTTGAGTAGTGTGGGAATATTGTTACAGACGAAAACTCATGAATGACGTATGGAGCCATGGAAGCGTGACCCCAAACAATAGTAAAAAATATATAAAATAAGTCTACAAAGTCTACAATTAAAATTTTAATTCAATGTAATGTTATGATCTTTAAATAATATATTTGAAATAACAACAAATTATAGTTTTATTATATAAAAAATTAGTTTGTGTGAAATATGTAAGTTTATATGTCAATATGCTACAGTCTTACATAATATTATACTAAACTATGATGACCATAACATAACAAAAGGAAGTTTCTTCAACGCCCAATATTTTTCTATATTTCAAGATTCTTACAAAAAAATATAGGTAAATGTGAATGAAACCTAGGGCAACTAAACGAAGTAAAGTTTTTAAATACAATAAAAAACTCGAAATTCCTCAACCATGTCTGTCTGTTTGTGCGTTTAGTTCTTCTAAACTAGCTAACCGATTTTCTCTTGGAATATCTTTTGAATGTTATACATATATAAAGTCGATATTTTCATCAATCAATCAAATCGTCAAACCTGAGTTAAGCTAGGGCGGAGTCCTAGTATGTTATAAGGTATTTAATCAATCTTTAATGTCTTTGCTATGTCCTATCTTAGTCATGCTATTCTTATTATATTATATTAAAAGAGTTAAGCAACATTTCTGCATTCTGATTAAATGTTTTTATTAACTAGTATTGTCATATATCATAACAATTTTGAGATTTTCATTTGCACATTGCAACATTAAAAGTAAAGTTATATTATAAATGGCTTCAAAAAATGAGTTTGTTATTATTATCAAAATAAAAGCTAAATGTTTAAAGTAAACCAAATATAGCCGTTAAAATTAACCGGGAAAACAAACAAATAATTGGGGAGTCATTGCACTTATTCATAGGCAGGTATGCAACAGCAAACGTGTTTTGCTTCATCGATACCTACGACTTACCTGAGACTCGCTCCGGACATGGTTCAAATTGTTTACTACTAATCCGCTGTCTGTCATTGGATCCATTGCTGTATCATTATTCTCTCACTGGTCGTTTTATATCACCACACATTTCAGTCTTAAAACCACAAAAAGCTTAATCTATGAGTAATTTAATAAACAACAAACCAAACACTAACTTGCACTAGCACAGCCGATAGACGAGAAAAGCTCACAAAGTTAGGAAAAAACAATTTGCCGCTTGCATTTAATAATCGTAACTTGAATCATTGTTTAGTCCAAAAGTTTAAAGGCTGTGTTTTACAGCAGCACGTCCGTCCGATCCTAACTAAGGACGCCAGGCGGCGAAAAGTTAACCGTGCGTGATTTCTCGGGACTTTCAAAACCAAATGGTCATATACGCTATCAATCTTTGCATACCAGAGTTGTGCGATGAGATGAGAGTTCTCGAGGCTTGCGCGCGCGGCGAGAACGAAAGGGACAACACACACGCAGGTACTCCGCCTCGAAGTAGGCGAACAGTATCTACAGGTTTGCTCCCACTACAATACACGGCACGGACTCGGAGGTTCGGAGCTTGAAAGTTAAGTTGTAGTTGAAAAACATAATAGCTTGCGCACTCGTCACTAGACAGGCCACTTTTTACTATCAGACGACTCTAGAGCAGTCTCGTTTTCCTCCTCAAACACAAAATACTGTTTCATTTCTCAGCTTTACTTTTAAACTTCGTATTATGTTTGAATCACAGATTTTTGTTACTTAATTTAATTATTTAATATTATTATAGATAGTTTATCCGCATGTTTGATCAAAAAGAAACTTTTGACCCAATCGATAAAGTGAACCGGTTCAATGCATCTCTGGTGAAGGCCGCAAAGGCACGATTCTTCACGGGATAAATGTCTCATTAAAAATAAAACTTGTTTTAATTTTAAGCTCTAAATCATTTTAATAAGGTTGTAAATAAATAATGTGGTCAAGGGGCTCTGAGGGTCTATTTTTAACCAATTTTAAAGACGAACAGCGTTTAGTGTAGGTACACGTCATAGCACACACAGGCACTTCCAAAGATGCGAAGGTCTCTTACCTGGCTATGCGTTGTATATAATAACTTTGTATAATAATCTTAAGAAGAATCAAATTAAAGAAGAGCTATGAAATAATACAGGATTAATACCGTAACATTTATAATTTATTTAGAGTCTACTGAGGGTTCCAAAAATGATAATTGACGGTATTTAATTTGGGAGTTATTATAAAAAGCGGTTAAGTCACGCAATCGCTTTTGCTCTCGTATAGGAACCATTTGAAGTACTGACAATAAGATAAAAAGTCACCTATGTCACTCTTCGGTTCATTACCATGAATGCAAAATAGACCGATCATTAATTTATAGTTTTAATTCCACATTAAAGTTACCAAATTTCAAAATTACCGCTCAATTCATTCGTGTCTTCCTCACAAAACGTGACACTGGCAGAATGGATTGCGTCTGTTAACGCAACTATAAGCCATTAAAAAAGAAAGAAAATGAAAAAATTAAGGACAAACTAACAAACATTATTTCAGGTTTGTAGTAATAATAAAATTAGTCACCACGAAGCTTACAACATCAGTCTGTTAAAATTTCAATATTTATAAGTTTTTAATGTTATCCATGTTCATTTAATTTACATACCCAGAGACCAGTACATTAGTTGAAAATGCAAGTGAAAGCTATTACGCAATCAGCTTCTTATGCTCTCGCCTATAAGTCAAAGTTAAGGTAACATAAATATTCAATTTATTATTTTGGGGATCAATGAACTCTATCTGTTAACAGCTTGGTTTGAGTATAATATTATGTATGTGTTAATGTGTAATTTGTAATATTTATTACTTTTTTATAAAAAACTTATTTGTTATTTAAGCTTATACCTAATATGTAGGTATTATAGTATCTGTGTTACGTATCAGTAGGTATGTTATCATTTTTAGTTTAATCTTTTCTGTGAAAAAGAAAAAGAGAAATGAAAGTAAAATAAAAGTTATAGCTGACTCTATAACTTACCACTTACCATCAGGTGGAACGCAGTCAAGCACTAACTCAGAATACTATTAAAAAAAAGAGTCGCTACTAGATGGAAGATAACTATAGTGTAATGAAATTGTTCACTAAATTGTTTTGGCATATTTTAGAATTTCTCTGTGAACACTCTTCCTAATTCAATTTTTTAGTTTCGTGGCTTTTTAAGTATTCTTACTTCATGGAGCACGGGAATAATAATTTTAATTAAAAAAAATGTGATAAAATTGTCAAAGTTACTTTGACAATGTCATAAAATTTGTTAAGATCACATCAACAAACAATCTCAAAAAAACCAAAGCTGTTAAAATGAACTGAGTCGGCAAGAACTCCTTATGATTATCACCGCATCTGCAGTATTTTCTTGTATAGCCACAGTTTTGGAAAAAAATAGCAGGCGTTAATCTTAATGGCTAAACACCATCATTTTTAGAACAACTTTTTTATTTGTAAAGTATATACAAAACTAATTCTTATAATGCGAAAATAAGTTATGGTAATGAAAAACGATCCCATGTTTAAATATATTGTGAAATTTATAAAGCCATACAAATCGCACTAACATATTTTCCATTTTAATAAATTAAGTTTCGCAAATTAGAATAAAAATTATCAAGTTCCTTTAAAATGTTGAAAAGACCAAACGGTATGAAACCAACACATTTATGGCATTTGACTCCACAAAAGGATTTCCTTTCTGTTATAAAAGACCGTCTCACAGCACGAGAAAATATAGAAGAAAGAAGTAAGAAAGATTTTCTGCAAATGGTAGCCATAGTCGTAGGTTCAGCAATGGCTGTATTCTATTCATTTGGTCATTTCAGTCCGAAGAGACATGTTACAAAAATTATAAAATCTGACATCTGTAACGAACTTCCACCACAAACTAAATGTAAGAAATCGGATAGCTTAGAACCATGCAAACCATAAAATATAACATATAAATAATACATTTTTCTTTGTATTGTTGAATGACTTTAACAATTAAAATATTGTGATCAGTGTGATTTTTTTTTTGATTCTTCCTTCTATGGACTTACCTAATTATTCGACATTGGTTTTTGCACGTCTATACTAATATTATAAAGAGTAAAGATTTGATTTTTTGTTTGTTTGTACCTACTGAATAGGCTCCGCAAGTACTAGACCGATTTAGATGAAATTTGGTAAGAAGATAGTTTGAGCCCATGGGAATAACATAGGATAGTTTTTATACCAGAAATCATCGCTTATAAGAGGGTGAAATGGGGATAAAATTATGTATGGGGAAGCAATCTAGTCTAGTTACGAATAAAGAACTTGATGTACTTTCGTGCCACTAAATTTTTTATTTTTTTAATATAGATGTGAAAATGTGAAAATTAAAATAACCCTTATCCAGAGGTTCGTTCCTAGAAAAAAACAAATTATCTCATGGGAACCGTGCATTTTTCCGGAATAAAAAGTAATCCATGTGTTATTCCAGACTATAATCTATCTCTATTCCAAATTTCATCCAGATCCGTCCAGCCGTTCTGGTGTGAAAGAGTAAAAAACATCTATCTATCCATGCTCACAAATTTTTATACTTATAATATTAGTATGGATATGGATTCTTTTTCGTATATTATATTTAAAGACCCAACCCCAATAGGAAAATAAGAACAAATAGATTTAAAATATTTCTTACAATATACTGACAAAAAAGTTTCTCTTTTACATTTTTTTTTATTTTTGGTATATTAATTAATATACCAATTATTTTACTTCACTTTTGTTATTTTTGACAGATTCTGTTTCCGTCATGGAAGCACCATCCATACTTTGTACCTAATAGAAAAAACCAACTAGATTTAAATTTTAAAGTTCTAATACCAAATGATTGTTAAGGATTTTATTTTTATGAAATGGAGCAAATGATTAAAGCTCTCCTTGTATCAGTGACAACTGTTGCTGTTTATCACTTTTTTATAAAGGACAAGATAACATAATGGAGAAAAAAGGTACTTTTTTATTCCTAGAAAGGATTGAAAGAAAATTGAGCGTGAGTATCATCTATATTGTAAATTCCTACATAAAGCATTACATAGGTACTTCTTTCAGTTATTTACAGACAAAACATTTTTGTTATCTGTTACATAAAGAAAAAAATTTTTGACGTGATTTGCTTTTCAGCATTTATTTCTGCGCGAAAGATTTACAAAAAAGTTGAAAATTAAACACGTATGTTAGACAGAAAGGAACAATTAAAGTTTATAATTTTGGTATTATCAATGGCATCCATTATAGGATATTCATTCGGAGTCACAACTCCTAGTAGCATATTAGAAGAATCGAAAGCAGTTCATAAGCCAAAGAATAAATCTGATAATTTCAAGATATAAATTGGTAGTCTTTGGACGTTTGAAGAGCCTATTACTACAAAGGTTCTGTTCAAAATGAATTTAATGTTGTTATTTCATACGTTGATCTAAATAAAAAAAAATCTACACAAATGTTGTTTTCTTTGCTGTTTGTTTTGATTTTTCTTAGTATATTTAGATATATATGTACATATTCCGAAGAGTTGCTTTTCGCTAGCTGACAGTTACCTATGGTTAGCGATTTTGTATAGTATAATTAGACAACGTTTAACTTTTGTGAATTATAATAATTACATATTAATAAAAGATACAAATTCAACTTACAAACTAACTCATTTTCATATTTTTTAATATTATTTTTGAATCTTTTAAACAATAGTAGTATAGTATTACGAGTCCCTATGTCGTCTGTGCTACGGTAAATAATCCTACTAATACATATTATAAGCGCGATAGTTTGTGAGGATGGATGGCTGTATGTTTGTTACTTCTTTAAGCGAAAATTAATAAACGGATTGTGATAAAACTGAACAATAATATAGCTTATATATCAGAGTAACATATAGGCTATGATTAAACACCTCCAGATAAACTACTAAGAAATTATTTAAATTTTTAAGAAATCTATTCTTAACTGACACGCCAGCGTGTCTGCGGTCGTGGAGGGATGACTAGCGACTCGCCTTCGCGCATTTTGGGTTCGTCCCTAGATGATTCTTTAAATTGACGTAACTTTCTTATTTATGAACCGATTGAAATAAAACCAATACATACTAAATCTTAAGTGAAGCTTACCACAATATACCTATTAGTGAAAAAAACCGCGTCCAAAAACGGTTAAGCCGTTTCAGAGCTGAGATTAGCGCGCACAAACCCACAGACAAACCGACAAACAGACAAAAATTCAACGACAAATTGTTTTGGGTTCTATTGCTTAAATAAAGCCCCCGAGTGATAGTTTTTCTCAAATATCTTCCATGTAAAGACAGCGATTAGTTAAACTTTTATTATAGGTATGTATAGATAATTGGAATACGCGGGCGGACAAGCGCGAAAACGCTTGTGATGTTACAAAGTAGTGGGCGTTTCGTCTATGAAATTCATGATTTACAAAATGCATTAAATTACAAGTTCACTCCTTTACATTAGCTATTACATGTAATTTAATTTGTATTAGATTATTTACATATATATCTACTATATACATAAGAATAATAAAAATCTTAATATAACCTTACATTAATTGCTTTTTTATGGATATTTATACAAATACCATACCATACTTATCAACATTCGTCTTTTAATAGTGATTTTGTTAATATTATTTGAAGCCAATACATACGGATTAATTTGAATTCCTTTTATTTATGAGTCGTGAAATCATAAAAAAATATAGAGAAATATAATTCTGTCACTTTGAATAAAACAACTGTCAAAGTAAACCATGAATAAAAACTAACTCAAAAGCTTATGAAAATATATTTTAATTATAATATTTGCGCTCTCAAAAGCGCAAATATTATAAAATATTTAATAAATTAAAATTTCTCGAAAATATGAATGGAAGGAAATTACTATTCGACGTAATCGTGTTTTCTACATCGTTCTACGTGTCTTACAGCTTGATGTCTTTATTCATAGAGAGATATCGGGTGAAACGCATGGACAGCTCCGGTAAATAACAATGTTGAATATGCAGTGAGTTAGATACATTTTAAGTCTTTAATTCATCGATATAAGTTAAAAAATAATATTATATAATTATTATCGTTTTTTTCCACAGCCAAGTATGTATTTTAACAGTTAAATATAAAAGTCCTTCGGTACTTTTAACGGTTAGTATAGATTTGTCAGAGGTAAGATATTTTCCCACAGTAAAAAGTATCCTATATGCTGACCCGGATAAGTTATTATCATGCCAAATTTCATCAAAATCTGTCTAGTGGTTTTCTCGTAATGCGTTCGTAGACAGACAGACTAAAATATACTGTATCGATAATACTGACTACTTTAATAAGATTTTCCAAAAGATTAGACTTATAAATTTTATTTTTTTGAATTTTATTACATGTATAGAAGTACAATATAGGTACATTATAGATAGCTATGATGAATACCAACAGTATGTTTTTTATTGTAGGTACAACCAAAACCATAATCAATGGGGAGAAAAAGTAAATAAAATTAATCTCAAAATAGTTAATCTCAAGATATATGTATGCTTTTCACATTGTAAATAAATATATATCTACTCTTTTATATTTTTAATCTACGGTAACAATTAACTTTTACAGTAGTGTTATTCTTACCCTTTTACGCCTTTTTCTTCCAGGAAATGTGTTTAATGGCTGAGGAAGGGGCGGCAAATGATAAAAATATGGCGGCGTGAACATCAAATCCTCAACACTTGCTATGGGCGTTGACCGAGGCACCACAGATCGTACAGTTCCATAAATGTTCCTGCTACGATTACCCCCGTACAAATTAATCATCGCAATTTACAGTCAATGCCACTATCACAATTAAAAAAAAAAAGCTCGCGAAAATATAGTCTACAATTCACACATTTGTTACAAAATAACTATTTAAGTAGAACTTATTTTAATAAAAAAATAAGCCACTGTGCTATTTTTGTAGTTATAATTGAGGCTACTTTATAAGGTAAATATTTTTTTAATATTCCTTTAGCACCTCGTTGCCAAAAATGGTGCGCGAGCGCATTGTTCACGATTTCAAATGCGTTTGATGTAGATGGTTCTGTAGAACTTACATGTAATTATCATAGTTTATCTGCTTTTTCCAATAGGGTACGTGAAGCATAACGCGCCTATAGAATACAGACGTATTGTCATTTTGTTTGTCATGAAATTTAAATTAATTCAATAATGACAAAATTGTGTAATTTTTAATTACGTTTTATAAATATATTATTAAGTTATATTTCTTATCATTTAAATTTTAATAAATAAAAATCTTCATTATTATATGGGTGTATTTAGTACCTATTATATAAAGCCAATTTGAATTCACAACTTAAATATTACTGTAGAAGCGTATTGGTAATATTTTTTCTGTTTTCGAAGCCGCTCATTTAATAGCAAATAAATATAATATAAAGTATACATAAATATATTATATTCTTATACATATGTATTTACAATAAAATGTAAGACAAATTTGAAATTCTATTGCAAATAAAGTCGCATGTGTAACTATTTTTAAATAAGAGAAAAACGTACACGCATTGGCATGCGCCGATACACATGAATAAGTTTAAAAAGTTTGTCATCACTGCATTAAACGATTCTTGTATGCGACCAAAGTACCCATTGTTTAACAAATTTGACATATAAAAAAATATTATTTTAATTAAAAATTTGTAAACAAATCTCTTAAATGATATTCTTTTTCATTTATGGATTTAAGTCTTGTTTGTTTAGACTTTAGACCAAAGCAAAAGTAAAAAAAACTGCCATTAAAATAGGTAATCATTGTTATTTTTATCACTAACCTTCAGTTACCTAAAAGTAAATATAATATAATAATTATAATATTATTATAACAATTGTAGTTTTAAACTCAATAGGTAGTAAAAATTCCTCTAAAAATTTAAAAATGTGAGGTGACAGCGCCATCTATTAGCTAACTTTTATACTAAGCCGATACTGCAATAGTTCCATTCTTGCCGCATAGAATCTTTGTAAAATGACCACAGATGGCGTTGCATGTATAACTTTATATTATATGGCCGGCAATTTCAAAGAGGTTTTAAGTTTTAACAGCAAAATGTTAAAACTGAATATAATGATATGTCAAAAGTTTTCTGTCAAATTGTTCCATTAATCTTTATCAAGATGGCTGAACGGAGGAAAATATAAAAAATCTAAATACAATGATAACACCGCGACATAACATCTGTCGTATATTCTAAATCTATTTTTTTATATTTACTATTTATATATGACATGGCAGGTGGTATTGCAAAAACTTTCTTCGCACTAATTTTTAGTAAGGTTCACTGTTCAACTTTTGAAGGCAAAGACAATGGTTTTGGTAATAATTATGTTTGGGCTGGATCGCTCGAATCTGGTATGAGAATAGCAACCCATCATAAGAAACCTGTGATGGTAATTATCCATAAGTCCTGGTGCTCAGCGTGTAAAAATTTAAAACCTAAATTTGCAAATTCAGCGGAAATACAAACATTGAGCAAACATTTTGTTATGGTCAATCTTGTTGATGAAGACGAACCGAAAAATACTAACTTCGCCCCAGATGGAACTTACATACCTCGGTAAGCACAATAACATATCATAAATAAAATTATTTAGTTATTCTATTCGGCCCTTTTTAACGACCCACTGCTGGGAACGGGCCTCCCTTCAATACGAGGGGGATCAGGCCATAGTCCACTACGCTGACCAAGTGCGGGTTGGCAGACTACACATGTCTTTCGAAAACTTGTTAGGTTCTCGGTTTCCTCACGATGTTTTCCTTCACCGTAAGGCAAGCGGTAATCATGTAAGAAATGATTCGCACATGAAAATATTAGAGGTGCGAGACCCGGGATTTGAACCCGCTTCACTTAGTATTCCAAGCGCGCGCGTTATATATTCTTACATGTATTTTTATAGACCAATATATTTACAATAATTTTTTTTATCTGATTTTTTTATTTTTTTATCTCAAGCATCTATTGAATGGCTTAATGACAAAATGAATGGTCGAAACCGTAATTGCACCTGTTAGCTAGACAGTGCTACCGGTTTCCGAAAGTGGTAATTACGCTATTGCATAACAAAGGTCTAAGTGAGAGCCTAATAAGCTAAATTAGTAATACTTGCTTGAACACAAAAGTCCTTTTCTCCTTTGTGTTTTACTGTTACGTAATTATGTCCAAATGTCGGCCATTCTATGGAATTAATGAACTTATTTAAAGATACAGTATATAGTATATAGGTGGTAAAGATTAATTATTTTCATTAGTAGCAAGCTGACAGGTGTTGGCTTATTAGTAACCTATTATGTTTGTCGTAAATTTTGATAATTACCTAGATAAATCTACATCTACCAAAAAATAAACTGTAGTATTTAAATATCAGAAAATAATCTATTAGATTGATTTATAAAAAAAAGTTTTAACATTCTTAATATACTTAAGATTTTATAACTCAAAAGTAGTGGACACAATAGGCACACGTTGTTTTGCCACTTTTGTCGGCAAAATAAAAATCTAGACAACAGCGCCATCTACCGGGCCCAATTATAGCTAAGAACCATCCAGGTGAGGATAAGTACACAGAAAAATCATCAAAATTAGTCAGTTTAGGAAGAAAAGAATTACGTATACCGGAATTTTATATAACTGCAATAAAAAATCAATTAAAATCTATCGACATTCCACTTCTCGTTTAATCAAATACAATGCTCTATTTTACAATAAACCCAACTTATTACCTAATTCGTTGATCATGCGCAGCGAAGTAAGAAATGACAACTTACGATTTACGAACGCTAACAACCAAAGCCAACAAAATCATTTGATAAACGCATTCTTATTTATAAAGTAATCTAATCTAATCAGTGATCGTTGGCAGAATACTCTTCATTTCCCCAAAGGGTTCAGTCGACCATGACATTTACAATGAAGAGGGGAGCAGCCAACACAAATACTTCTACAGTAGACCGGAACAAATCGCCAAATCGATGAGAAAAGTCCTCGAGAAATACAAACACGAACAGTTCGATGTATGATATCTATGCTATGAAGCTTTTGTAAGTGTTGCTTAAGGTGTAGAATTAGGTCCGATTAAAATATTTATGTAGTTGCTAACGGTGAAGTTTTGTTATAGCTTTAATTGAGTCTTAACTTTATGGAAATTAAAATTGTTAATGTCGATCATATCGAGGTAGGTACAAAAATTGGTTATATCTCGACTCTCGAGTCATATGTTGAGTAAAAAAATACAATAAATAATTAAAAATGGTAAATATTCAATAATTTACTTGAAGTACCTAGTAGTTAATTATTTATATGTAAATTGTTTCTTTTTTCAGGATAAAGTTTAGAAGTTCGTCCAGCCATCTTCATTCAATATCTCAATATGAATAGTAATTTTGTGATTTCAATACACTTAGATATAAATAAATTATAACTGAGTTTAAAATACGAGTACAGTTTATATTATTTACACAATTAAATTAAATATTTTTTTGTATGTTTCAATATTACATTAAAACCTCCACTACAAGATTATAAATTATAAAAATCTGTTTAGCAACAAAGAAGTCATTTTTTTAAATATGTTCACAACACGCAACCCAGCTTGGAAACTTTATTAAATGTCTAATTTATTCAGTCTTAAACCGTTTTAAAACTTTAACGTTAAAAATGCAAAACTTCAATAATCTAAAGCTAAGGTATACCTCTTAAGGGATGAAGTGAAAAGCTTGCTTTTTCCCGCCTTTTTAAACGTACATTTTTTATCTCGTATATAATGTCTTAAAACAAAATGTATAACGATTAATATCTTTAAGTATAAAATATATATAATATGGTATGTTATATAAGTTATAGGTAAGGAAACTGGAGACTTAAATCGAATAATAATGAATTATTTTTTTAACTGGCAACCTACCTGGCTGCATTTAAAAATATATATACGAAAAACTCTGCCACTTCTCTTAACACTTAAATGTCCAATTTCAATAAATACTTCTTTATCGGTTACCTATGTCATTAAACGAATATTCTAGTACATTTAAGACCAGTAATTTACTCAGGGACTTTATATAACTATAAAAAAATCACAAATAAAAATATGGCATACTCACATCTTCCACCACTGGTTCGACGTACATTTCCATGGTGTTGTTAAGTGTTGGCAGCGGCATGGGGGACGCCGCTGCCGAGGACCGTCTCGATATACTGTTGCAGGAGCATTGCGATACAGATCGACGGGACCGGGGAGATTCTCTGATGGACAAACATTCATTTTTTAGTTTTAATTCAAAAAGAAGTTCAACAATCAATATATACAAGTGCAAAAAAGAAGCACATTTTACATTGAATTTTTGGCCAATAAATATAAAAGCTTTTAATAAATTTTTTAGGTTTTTAATTTGGTGTCTAATATCCTGGTTGATGAAATTTACGCGAGACAAAATTTTAGTCGACTTCCTTTTGTTTGACTACTACTAGGATACAAGATATGCGACACTTATATAAAAATATTTTAAAAACATGCAAATTATATTTAGTTAGAATATACTGACACAATAATAATATAATAACTATAATTAATAAATTCCTTCAAATTCTAAACTATCCAGCTTGTTCTTCAAATCTCAATATTTTATTACCTTTTGCTTCTCCTACACACGTGATGCGTCGATCTGTCACATCTACACCTGGATCGTAGAGGTACAAAATATCCAAGCTGAGGTAAAGGCGCAGGATCAGAGGAATCACTAGAGTCACTCCATTCCGGTTGGCTGAATGGACCAATATCCAGTGCTGAAGGCATCGCGAATTAAAAAAAACTTTTCGCGCCTTTTTGTACTTCTTGCGCCAATTATTAGATACTATTTACTGTATTGGTGCTCATAAAATGTATTGAAATATTATTTAATTGTTCTTCTTGCACTATGATATTCAAAAAGCTATGTTTTTTTATTGTTTTATATTACACTATTGACTATTAATTATCTTTGTCAGTAATTCAGCTACGTTTGCACTTCTAGTTTTAATTTTACAGGTAATTATATTATTTGGTCACAGTTATGTATTTTATAAAATATTTTCGAGACGTCCAAACAACAAGTGAATTTAATCGCGTTTGTAAAGTATTAACCTATTTGAAAAATGATAATGTAAACAAAGTTAGATTAGAAATTCGGGTGCGTAAGTATACCAATTAGACACATATTTATGATACGTTTGTGATAAGATTAATATGTTTTATTTGACGGCACACATAATATAATATACATAAGTTTTGGTTATAAATGTAAAATAATAAGTATTATTTTATGTATTTGTAAAATTAAATATTGAGACTGCCTTTCTACTGAGCTCTACGCCATTTTAGTTATATATATATATATATATATATATATATATATATATATATATGACTATACGTAGGCAATATTTATATATATATTGCCTACGTTTAATAATATTTATATATTATATATTACAGCAATACTAGATTTTCATCCTGAAATATAGAGCGTGTCACTAATCGCTATTAATACAATAATATTTTAATTATATTTCATCTATATTCCACATCCATCACATCGTTATTAATTTTGTTGGAAAAAGCCTAAAAAAATATTCAACACATTAAGAGACTAAATCGTCAAAGCGATAGCGTCCCAAGCGTGAAAGAACGCACATTCCTCGTAGGAAACTTTTTTTGCCGGTGAACCCGTGACTCACAAAGGCGCCGATAACATTAGGGATGTATCTTTTTTTGTTAGCGTCGTTAAAATATTTATCGGTAAATGAACCTTGACATAAGTATTTTGGACGTTAGTTACAAATATCTACAAAAAATATTAATCTGTCTGTATTTAAAATTCTACTCTACCTCTATTTGCTTTGCTTATCATAATGTATAATTAAAAAGCGTGTTACGGTGGATGTAAGTTTTAAATATCGTCGAAGCTAACTCAAATCAACTCAAATTATAGCCAACATTTAATTTCATGTTGACTATAAATTCTATTTCCAGATTATACAATTCCTGGAAAAATATTGTTCAAAACCGAACGTAATAACTGCTTCAAATACATGCTAAAAAACCAAACACTACTTTAAATGGAAACAGACGGTTTTTTTACATTATTTGTATTCTAAAGTGGTTTCCGAGACTAGTTCAGTCAAGCGTATTTAAATAGTAGACACATTGAGCATCTAAAATGTGAGTTTACGCATTTCTATTACTAACCACTATAAATAAATCAGTATGTATTTACACATTTATCGTGTGACACTCGAACTGAATATCTATTTCTTGAGCGAAAATCTTATAAACTTTGATTATTAACTTAATATACTAGATTTTCTATTTTTTTCATATATTTAATTGGAAAGTCAAGTTTATAATCTGTTACGTTATGTACATTAAATAGTTTTGCTTTACAATTATTTTGTTTTACAATTATTTAAAGCTATAGAAGCAAACAATTTACTTCTGTACGTCTAGATAGGTATATAAAAGAAAATACGTGGCTATTTGCCTTATGTTTTCAAATGAAAACGAAAAAGAACTCCAATACAAACTCTTCATATTGTAGACGCCAGGCGGGCTTATATTTATTTTACCTTCATCCGTAGCCCTTGAAAGGTAGAATTTTTTCATAAAAATTAAAGGAAAAACTCTTAACTCTTACTTTTTTTACTCAAAAGTAGGACGTAATTTATGCTTTAGTGTATAAACTTAAGCAATTTCAATTTCAAATTACATATTAAAAAAAGATGGCTTAGATAATAGGTTGTTTGTACTATCGACATTTTCTACATTCATATTAAAAGGAAATATTAACAAACTAGCATTGCCCGCGGCTCCGCCCGCGTTCAGATGACCAAAAACCAAATTCTTAGGTTTTACATATTAGTATACTCTTACATTGCAGTTTTTGTATTTTTTCTCAGAAATGAGATATTTTCCCGGAGTAAAAAGTATCCTATATGTTGACCGGGATAACCAGCTATCACCATACCAAATTTCATCAAAATCCTTCCAGTGGTTTTTCTGTTATACGGTAACAGACAAACAGACAGACAGACAAAAATTCTGAAAACTATAGATTCGGCCTCTGTATGGATAATAATGTTTATTTCAATAAGATTTTCCAAAAAAAATTAATGTACAGATTCGGCTTAATTACAATTTTATTATTTGTATAGGTGTATAGAAAGAGCCATTATTTGTCACTTGATATATAAGTACTCTAAGATTACGATTTTATTGAAAGACACTAGCGACTCACCATCGCTTCGCTCGAGTTCATCCCTAGATATGTTTTAACGGTTAGTATAGAATAGATAGACAATATACTATATGGTATATAGCTTTCCTCAATAAAGGGCTACCTAATGCAAAAATAATTTTTCAAATCGGTCTACACACTGAACTTAAACCAGTAGGTCCTGAGATTAGCGTATTCAGAACGAACTAACAAACAAACAAACAAACAAACAAACAAACAAACACACTTTGCTTCTTTATAGTATTAGTATAGATGTTTTCATTTTTTTACTAGAAAATTAAATTTGTATGTTGTGCTAAAATTAATAACATCCTATGTGATCATTTAATATTAATATATATATATATATATATATATATATATATATATATATATATATATATATATATATATATATATATACCAGTATAGAAAACAGCCTACATCAATCTGCATTATTACTTTTCTAAATATTTAAGTGTTTCTAATTCCAAACTTCCTTCCAAACTTTCATCCATTGTTTTGTAAGAAAATCTTTCGTAGTCACAGTATATAAGAAAAATATAAAGTCTCATGAAATATGTTTTCATCTTTAGGTGTGCATTGTCGTCGGTTCCAGAGTTAATATTAGTTGTACTTTATACATTTTAGTAGCGACTCACCCACGCTTCGCTCTGGTTTGTCCCTAGGTACGTTTTAAATTAAAATGGATATAGTATGTTATCCTCAAGAGATAGACATATGCCATCACGGACTTCTCTGTAGACATATATAAGATACACAATTTCACCATACATTATTTTGTTATATCTCAAAGGGTTTAGGTAGCGCTTTCGTTGAAAGCTTCCAGACGGCTTATTTTTTTCCGACACCCCCAACAAATATCGTTATATTTTAGCCAATGTACACAAAAATTTAACAAAGTATATACTTAAACCTTCCTCTTGAATCACTCTATCTATTAACAAAACCGCATCAAAATCCGTTGCGTAGTTTTAAAGATCTAAGCATATATAGGGACAGGCAGACAGCGGGAAGCGACTTTGTTTTATACTATGTAGTGATGATACTTCATTCATGAATGTTTTTATCAATGTTTATAATTTATGTTATACCAATCGGCAATCACAAAATATAGACAATTACCAATATAGTCGTAAGCCGTTCTTTGAACGTTGCTTAAATCCTACTACTGTTTTAAACATGAAAGTTTGTGAGGATGGATGGATGTTTGTTACTCTTTAACGCAAGAAGTACTAAAAGGATTTTGATGAAACTTTAGAGGAATATAGCTTATGAAATATACATATGAGTAACATATAGGATATAATTTTATATGATATAGTTATATGTATAAATTGAACTACGCGTGCGGAGCCATGAGAAACCACTAGTAAATGGTTATGAAATAGTAATTGACATATAGCTGAGCTTAAACAAAACTAAAATATAATTTTATAGTTTAAAATTACAACGTCCACTAACATCTTAATAGGATCGTTATATACATAATTTTATTGATGGTCGTGATTGGATGGTAATCTAAATGACCGACATGCATTTTGAAGTGCTTTACTAATATGATATTAGGCAATTACCTACTTGTATTTTTAAAAATGAGAAACACTTAGGTTCCCATCTCCAAATTTTACTCCAATGATATTCTATTTATTATTATAATTATTTGCTATGATCCTTGACATGATAATGCATAAAGAAATAAAGACATTGAGTTTTATTACGTCTCGATTTTCAATTAATGATGAATTTAACTTACTTCTAATTGTCATATTGACTTGAAACTTCGCAAGTGTTTCTATTTCCGTTGATAGTACAGCGGTTCGGTATTGTTGATCTGATCTGATGGTAAGGCCAGAAGGTGGATAGGTGGAACTCATCAACGGCTAATAGTAGATACTTTGAGTTTGGGCTTATTTTGTTTGATTTGACAAGCCTAACACGTTAGAATTCTTACTTTGCTACTACTGTCTAAATTAAAAAAGAAAAAATAAAAATTTTTTAACAAAAAAATAAAAACCGATTTCAAATAAAAGCACTAAAAAGTAAAAAATAACTGATTGGTAGTTTTCAATTACTATACATACCTAATCAAATAATTTCGAAGTCGGTGCCAGCCGATACAAAGCAAAGCACACCGATTTCGAAAATATTTGATTGGGTATGTATAGTAAATGAAAACTACTAATCAGTTATTTTTTACTTTTTAGTGCTTTTGTTTGAAGTTGGTTATTATTTATTTGTTAAAAAGTTTTTATTTATTAAAATTATCTAGTGAAACATTCATATTGATATTTATATTATTGTTTGTTCCTATCAAAATTTAAACCTATCCGGTATTATTCATCAGGTATCTGCTGTCTGCTTTCGTGCAACATTTAATCCATTTATGTTCTGCATTAGTGAAACTTTTCCCAAGCTTTTCAATCTATCAGTCGGCTTTATTAAGTTATGACACGACTTTCAGTTCGTTTCCACTTTCAGAAGACAATATTTAAAGTTTATTACTTAATGCACGGTTAATCCA